TTGCACTTCCGTTTACAGTTATTTCCCTAACTACTACAAATATGGATATGAAACTTATATGGATAGATAGGGGAACATGTGCACTTTCAGATGACACCAAGATTGGCAGATTTAGACAATTGTAAGACCTTTTATGTTCAAATATATGAAGCAGTCTCTGCGCAGGATAAGGACTGGTATAGCGCAGACGAAGCCAGAATTCCGCAAAAACTGGAGGCAGTTCGAAAGGAACTGGCAGTTTTGCAGTTATTTCCCTAAATATTGCAAATATGGATATGAAACATATGGCCGTTCAGATGACACCAAGATTGCAAAATTTAGATAATTTTAAGACCTTCAATGCTTGAATATATGAAGCATTCTTTGTGCAAGTACAGGACCCAGTATAGCTTAAAGTCAGAATTACGCAAAAATATCAACCAGTCAGAAAGAACTCGCACTTTAGTTGCAGATTTTTCCTTACCTACCTCCTTAAATATGGATATGAAACTTACATGAATAGATAGAGGAACACGTGAACTTTAAGATGACACCAAGAATGCAAGATTTTTACATAATTTTTAGGTCTTTTATTGTCGAATATACACGAATGAAGCATTTTCTGTGGGGAGTCAGGTCTTTCAAGTTGCACTATATGGAACCATCTTTGCTCGGGAACGAGCTTGAGTTATGTCTGTATTCTTTGGGGGAAACATCCTAATGCACCGAATGCGGTGGGGTCAAAATAACATGTACGAATTTCGAAAGTTTAGGGTAGGAATACGAAAAGACTTTATATCTGTCTTAAGTAAATAGCCCAATTTCTAAATACCTGTACGATTTCAGTCTTGGACTATTCAGGAATCGATTTCTTGAAATATTTAGATTTTTGGAGCTTTAGTTATGTTGGAATTCAGACGGAAATACATCGGAATGGAACGAATGCAGTAGGGTCAAATATGTACGAATTTCCAAAGTTAAGGGCAGTGCTACGAAAAGACTCAGTACCAGTGTAACTAAACATCCAAATTTCAAAATATCTGCACGATTTGAGTCTTGGACTATTGAGTAACTGATTTCTCTTAAAATGTTTGATACTTCGACCTCTTCTTATGTTGGAATTCAGACGGGAATAAATATGGGTGTGCAGCAATTGAGATAGCTGAACGAATATAGAGTCATATAGCAAAATGACAAACAATCCAAATAACTAAATCACCAAATTCCAAAATAACTGCACAATTTGAAACTTGGACTAGTTACGATTTCAGACTTTGAAATACATGTTAGGAGCTTTAAATGATGTTAGGAGCTTTAATGAAAATTCCTTCAACAGAAAATGGAATTTACTTTCTGTCAAAAAGTGCTAGAATTGCCAGATTTGGAGGATTTTCAGACTTTTATGCTCAAGTATATGGAGACATCTTTGCCTGGAAAGGGGAGCGTTAAAATGCAGACAAAGAGCGAATTGAAAAAAATTGCAAGCAGTGGGACAAGAAGGTTTGCCTTTTTTCGCCAACATTTTCCTAGCATGGACAAGAAACGTGATTTTTACACGGCAGTTGGATCGCCAGATTTAGACAATCTGTAGACTTTTATGGTCGAACATATGGAGCTGTATTTGCGCGGGATGGGGCTCGATAATGTGAGGACAAATGCAAAAATTCACAAAAACAGCAAGAAGTCTGAGAAGAACTCGTCTTCTTACTCCCATATTTCCCTTAACACACCAAGGATAGATATGAAACGTATTATTAGAACATGCGCCATTTCGGATAGTGGTAGGATTGCTAGATTTGGACAATCTTCACACCTGTTATGTTCGAATACATAGAACCATCTTTTTGCGGGAGGACTGCTATTGTGTGGAGAAAGGGGAAAAGTCCCGAATCTGGCAAGCAGTTACAGATCTCTTGCCTTCTTTTTTCGTGTATTTCTCCAATAACTAGAAATATTAAACCTATGTCATCTGATGGAGGAAAGTGTGCCCTTTCATATGTCGCTGAGACTGTTAGATTTGAAGCAGTTTTAGACCTGTAATGCCCGGGTATAGGA